CAACCCTTCGTGTCCTTTGAGGTATACTAGTGATGCCACAAAAGAGGCATTTGACATTGATTGGTATCACCACCCTTGGGATTTGGCAGGCCGCTTGCATGCACCTACCAGGACTGTCTCTGATTCCATCAATTAGTCACTTGTAGGGAGCTATTTGAATAAATGGATTGTTTTAAAATTTAAAAAGTAAAGAAGATTTTATGTTATTTTTATGTACGTTTCTTCACAAAACTATATTTAATTATAATTTTCTTTAAAAGTATATTCATACAATTGAAGAATATTTTGTACCAGGTATGTACTGTACAGTACATCCACCATACATTATTATAAATAAAATAATAAAAACTTACTTGGTGAAATACCAAATAAGTTATTATTATTTTATTTATAATTTTAGCCTTTATATCGTGGCTAGCAATTCAGAATGTAATTATGATATTAAAAATACATTTAGAGAAGTCTACGGTTTTTACTGGCTTATCGAACAAACGATACGAATGGACCCTTGACCATCACTGATGCACAATTAACTGATTTCCCCTGGAAGTCGGCTTCTTACAGAAACACAGCTTCCCTACCATCAAATGTCATGGCACGCCACTGACTCAGACTGAGGAAAATATAGACTACCATGAAACCTGGACACCTTATCCTTCCCCTATTTCATCTCTTATTAACACCCAAACCCTTTGTCTAGTGTTGCCACCTTTTGAAAATTGCTGACTTGGACAGCAGGTCAGGTTTGTTTGAACAGAAGTTCCTGACGCAAGTCCCTAGTCTCTAACTGTAACTAATTTAGAACCGACATGCACGTTACTCTTCACATTGTAAAATGACATTGTGCATGCATCAGGAAGTTCTGTTCGAACAAACCTGACCTGCCGTCTGGGTCAGTAATTTTCAAAAGCTATGACTTAGGCTGTATTGGATATTGGAGAGACATGTACAATCATACATGCAAAAACAAAAAAAAACAAAAAAAAAAAAAAGGTCGACAGGTTGCATGTTGGTCTACATGTTGGCATAAACAGACTAACATGGCAGAATTGCAGATGAGTTTCAATGAATGTGAGTTCTTTCGCTGTTAAAATAGTGTAAATTTGTAAAAATATTTGCAAGAACTTTGTTTCATCATAATTTCACAATTTCTACTAAATTCCCAGACAAAATTAATAGTTTACCTGGATGGTGAGTCAATTCCTGGACTGTCCGGGTGAAAACCGGATGGATGGTAACACTATCATTAACAGTAGCAGCAATATAGCCTGATCTAATCTGACAACTATTTGGCTTTAATATCTCACTATTGTCTCTAGATATGGTTTTTAATTTTTATGATATATAATATGTTTCTTCTGATAATATTATGTGCTTTTTATAAGTTTGGAATATCAGGGATAAAGTAATATATAATTTTTAATCATTCCTTAGTTACATAAAATTCAACTTAGAAAATGGAATGTATCTCTTGTGCAAGTCTGAGACAGACTGTATAAAGTAGAGAGGGTTAATTTAAAAAATAATGTGTTAAATCTCAGCTATCACTAAAATTTTTAATTTACTGTAAAATGTGGTGATTTTGTCCTAAATATTAAACAATAATAATAAATTCCTACAACTCTTGGAGTATAAAATAATTGTAACATAGTTGAATTTTTAAAATTGGATATCAATTTTGTTTATAGAAAAAATTACATCAAAAATATTTTTGAATACATTTATTTTTGTATTGATAATTACTTTTTATATGTCACTATAATGATCACAAAAATTAACCTCTGAAAAGTTGATCTTGGAAAAAAAGGTAAATGCATTTGAGTCTCTATTTTGCTAAATGCCTCTAGTTTCAATTTAAAAAAACAAAGCATACAGTAATTAGTTTTTCAATTGCTATTATATTATGAAAGCTACTCTGTAAGGTGAATGTGGCCATCATTGGCCATATTCACCTGCAATAAAAAGTTGTAGATAGGGTAGTGCTGTTTTCCATCACAGTAGCCTGCAATAAGAAGTAATCAACAGACTACTGAAAAGATTAGTTTTTGATTGTTTTGAGTATTATATAAATGAATTATTATATTTATTATGTTAAAAACAATGTTATTATATTTTTAGAAATAATGCCAAGGCATTACATGCCTAAAAATGGGACAAGATGATATGGTATGCTGTTCATAGTAAACAAGCAATACAAACTGCAGTTGAAGCTATCAAATCTGGTAGAATGTCACAACAAGAAGATAGTTTTTACTTCAACATTGCAAGGATAACTTTTTAAAATAAAATTAATGGAAACCATCCTTTGAAAGGCATTCAGACAGTTTTGACCACAGTAGAGGAAAAAATCATTAATGACCATATTATTATGGCATCAGAATTTGGATTACCTATTACAACTGAATTATGACATGTCATAAAGGAGCAAAAATTTGTTGGCTTAAAGATAATTTACCTGGATATGATTTTATAAAAGGATTTTTACAATGCAAAAAGAAAGTAGCTATATGAACATATGCATATATCATAGCAGGAAGAGGTACAATTTCAACTGAAACTATAGAAGTTTTACAAGAATTTGGCACATACAGAGGATGGTAATGAACCAGACAGCATTATTAACCTGGAAAATGTAACAGGGTTCAAAATTTCCAAAAAAATATTGAGAGTAGACTCTAAAGATGCCATAGTTACCAAAATAATAATCAGCAATTCTTATTAGAAGTGATTTAGAATTAGATTCTTACTAAGAAAGATATATCCTACTACAAAAATAGAAATATAATTTAGGTTATACAAGAACCAAAAGATCTTAACAGATGAGGGATGTTTTCAATCCTTGAAATAAAAAAGCATTGGTAAAAACATACCAATCTCTTTTAAATGTATATAATTTTGTAATACAAATTTTTGTTAAACAATTTTGATAAAAATTGATTTTTATGACAAAAATATTTTTGTTAATGTTACGAGAAAAATAATCTCGGTAATATTTTTGTCTGTAATAATTATTTTATAATCCTATTTCTAATGTCATTTTATCTTGAATAAATAATTTGTTAAATTTTGTTTGTATAGTTTTAAATTTTAAAACAATAATGTAAATAAAATAATGTAAAAAGCTTTAAAAATATATTTTTTATGGTCATATTCAACTCATAGAGAGTTAAATGCATTATAAAATACACTTTTCAAAGTCAGGACATATTCATTCCATCGTAAATTATGTGATGTAGCCATCACATAATTTTTAAGAAAATAAATTGCATGATTTAAAAATGAAAACTTTTCTATCACGAGTGTATGATACTGTGGGATTATTATTATTATTTAATATATTAATTGTAATTCTATGTGTATTAGTTTTAATCCTATTTTTTTGAAAAAATTGGCTAAAGTTACCCCATTTTACAGTACCATTCACTAAAATGATATTTTTTTAAAGTCTCTCTGCCCTGTGGGCACTAAGAGGGCCTCTTTTTAGCAGGCCCAATATGGATTCGGCCAGGCCCACAATGGAGCAGCTGGGTGGTGAGGGACAAAGCCTGACATATCCAGACAGACCACCCTGAAAAATTTCCGGGATTTTTCAACCTGTTCAGATTTGATCCCAGGTCCCGCAGAGTGGTAGGCTGCCACCTTGACCACTCGGCCATCTGGCCATCACTAAAACAATAGTGTCAATATTGTTCTCATCATTGATTCAGAAGAATTTTATCTTAAAATATTTTATAGCAGCTTGCACTTGTTCTAGTTTTTAGACTCATTCCACTCTGTGGGCACTAATAGGTTCTTTTTCAGCTCATGGATTTGGCTAGACCCACAATGGGGCAGCCAGCTAGTGAGGGATGGTTCACAAAATTCTGGAATAGACTAATTAGGGTTGCCAGCTTCCTTGTACAAAAAAAGACATTGCACAGACATTGCATAACAGAAAACATTTACTGTATAACAAAATAGTTTGTATTAAATATTTGTTAAATTGTAAATTATAAAGTGTTAAATAGAAAATAAATACTGTTTTAAACTCAATGCTAGAATTACTGAGTTTTACAAAATGCCACTCTGAGTCCCTGAATTTTATTTGTTTGTCTAACTGTGATTAATAGTGTCTTTTTCTTTCTGATACTCTAGTGAGTGAAAAATGACAAAACTGTTACTTTAGAATAAGAAAATAAAATATTGGAATGTCATCTGTTGGGAATATTTCAGAGATAATAAACTTAAACAAAAACAAACAATTAAAATTGTACTCAAATAAACAGAGGACATGAGGATAATACAATTTAATGGAGGATGATTGGCAACCCTAGACTACTCCCTCAAAAATTCATAAGGTTTTTCAATCATCTGGATTCAATTCCATGGTGGAGAGGATCCAGAGTTGTAGGATAATGCCTTAACCACCTTGGCCATCCAGTCAGTTGCTTCTGCTTTACTGTGAACAGAAATTTTTACAATAATAAATTGACAGAATTTGCAAGTTTTTGAATTTTTTATTCATTCTTACTTTCTTACATTTTTATCTTTGAAAATTTATAATTTGAATATCTGTAACTCAAAGATGAAAAGCTTTTATTAAATTTTTAATCTATGACAGTTCAGTCTTATTCATCTAAAAAAATAGGCTAGATATTTGTAAATAAAATCGTGGATTATTTGAGGTGTTAATGCTGATTATAAATGACAGTTTGATGATGAAAGAATATAATATACAGAATTTGTTATAAAGTTAGGATTTGAAATTATCTTATCATCAAATATTAATAATTAATAACTAAAATATTTTGATTAAAATTGGGATAAATATATTATATTAATGGTGCATGAATTGTTCCCTCATTCAAGGTATTAAATATCCAATTTATCTCATATTTATATACTTTAAATTAAAAATTTTATGCATGCATATATTGCTTTAATAACTATTGGAAAACATTATAAAATGAATTTAAATGAAATTAATAATGATATAAATCTAATCAGTTTATTTTATTTAGGCTTGTTATTCACTCTCAGAGATAGGAGCTCAACAATTTGATGCTTATGGTAAAATCTTTACTGTAAAACTGCAGTACATATTTTATCGAGAAAGGGTAGGAGTACGACCTGGCCAGATAAGCAAGGTGATGCAAGGACATATTACAAGTGTTGGGCAGATAGCCAAACTTGGTCTTCCATTGGAACATGCACCTCAAGTTTCCCAATTATTGAAATTGGGAACTCAGTGCTATTCAGATATCAAGACATTTGTTCAGGTATTTTATAATTTATATTAATTGTTGAAAACAGAATATATCTGTAAAATAATAATCTACTAATATTTTACTTGTATTGTTTCATTAATAAAATAATTTTAATTTTTTTTTTAAATTTTAAACACCACAATTTAATAGTTTAATAAATATTTTAAAAATTCTATAGACTTTTATCACATTACATGCCATTAATGTTACTGAATAAATGAATCTAACATATTGTATTAGCTATCAGAATACTTCATATCTTCATATATTTTTAGTTAACTTGATTTCATTCATTTTCAAACTAATAATGGCATAAAAATTATAAATTATAAAAAATTCCTAATTAAAAATATTTTATATTTTATTAGACTATCATAAAAAAATATTACTCGAAAAAAAGAAATTTATAGCTTAAAATGAAACAAATATCAATTTAAAACAATATAAATAGATAAAATCAATATTTTAAAAACAAAAACAGGAATTTTAATAAAGAATTGAAAAAGATGCTGAATAATTAATTAATTCCATATATAAATTTGAAAATATGTTAATACTGTTATTGAAATATGTACATTTTTGTTACCTTAACAGATAATAACACAAAAAAAGCTTATTTTATTCATTTTTGATGTCATTCATTATTGAAAGTATTCATTGTTTTATTAAAACTTTTGAAATAATTCTAAATTCAAAAGAGTAGCACTAACCAAGTTCCTACAATACCATTCTTTTAAGAGTTTACAGTATAATATTAACATATATTAATCTAGTTTCACATATTAAATAATTATTAAATTTTATATAATATAAGATTTTGTAAAAATTATAGAATATAATTTAATTTTTTTTATTTTTAAAGATTGTGGAAGATGCTTTGTTTCATCTTACAATACACAGGGATCGATCTTTAACATATAAAACAGAAGAAGTGCAAGTTACAGTCCAAGATGAATTTTATGTTTATCAAGATAAAACAGGCCATGTGTGCAAACAGTTAGCACGTGTACGAATTTTCTTCCTTGCTTTCATCACAGGTAAAGAAAGAATATTAAATTTTAAATTACATATTATATTTTTATTATTTTAACCTTTTAAACTACTTTTTTATACTGTACCCCTGTGATCAAAAAGTATTGGGAATGGTTCAATAAAACACAAGACTGAATTTATTCATCAAAATTTATTTTGTCCCCTTCAAAGTAATCCCCTCCCACTGCAATGCACTTATGCCAACATTTTTTCCAATCCTTGAAACATGTTTTAAAGTTGTTTATGTGAAATCCCTTCAGGACTTACAGTGAATTTTGTTTTATGGCATCAATTGGCACAAAACAGTGACCATGGAGCTTGCAGAACTGTATTTATTGAATTTTTGGCCAAAAGCTCACCGACAACCAACAGCATTGTGAGCAAATGCATTATTGTGGTGCAAAATCCATGAGTTTTCTTGCCACAAATTGCCATTTTCTATGAATTGATTCAAAAAATGATGCACAACACCACAAAAAAATCAAAGAAAACAGTCAACACAACCTTGATTTTTGACTGACTTTGACATGATCTTGCTTCACCTTTCAAGTGCCAATCATGATTGTTGAGCTGTTTCAGTGACAAAAGTGTAGATCCATGTTTCGTCATCTGTAATGTTGTGTTTTAAGAATGATTTGACTTGAGAAAACGTTTCCTTGGCCACTTGAATATGATGTTTTTGAAAAAATTCAATGTTTTCAGAATGACTCGAGAATCAATGTGCTGCAAACCAAATGATCTTTTAAAATTGCTTGATAAGGTCCAAAAGATAATGCCCCTAATTGTTAAACAACACTCATTGAGCACAAAGTCTGTGACTTGAGTGACATGTTGTTCATCAACTGAAGTGGATAGTCTATTAAAATTAACATATTCTCCACCTTCCTTGAATATCTGTACCACTTGAAAACTTTCATTTTTGATAGACTACTGTCACTAAAGGCTTTTTGCAGCATTTCTAATATTTTTATTTCCTTGTATATTATATTGTAGCAGATAGTTTAGTTTCATTAGATGAGGAATTTCTAAGTCTTAAAATCTTGAAAAATTTAGTTTTAATGATTTTCAGTACTTTTAAAACCCTTGTGAAATTTCTCGATTTTCATAATAAAACAACTCCAAAATTCCTTAATTAATGACAAAAATCTGGTTTATTGGAACTCAACTGAATTGTAATTTCTCAGCATTCTTCTGTTTTATTATCCATTCTCAACGTCATTCACTTTGCTATCTATTCTCAAACTAAACTATAGAATGCCAAACCTCAATTTAGTTTCATGAGGCTCTGGAAATGTCCCAGAACCCACTAAATTTGTTAATATTTACTATATTTTTCCACAAAAGGAAAAAATAATAATAATGGAAAAAAAAACCTTTTCTCAGAGTCACGACAAAGGAAAATTAGACAATGTAAGTCCCATGATCAACTATCTCTGTTGGGATCAAATGAAATGTTGATTTTGACTGATCCTATGATCTAAGATCTTGTTACACTTAATATTGACTGACCAACCACTTAGAAAGTGAGAATGAAGTAAAGCAACCAATTGGAATGGATGATCAGGAACAGAAAATAATAAAAACTCTGAATTTCAAAGATGAGAGAAGTTCCTGCAATTTCCCTAAGCTTCACACCTTTCTTGGTTGTGTCTTTAATTTCTCAACTATCTCTCTCAGATTGACATCATCGCTTCTCTGGACCACCAACAACATTTCTCCAGGGCCATTGAACAATGGAAAGATCCTTCTCTCTTGGACACCTTTCAAGGAAAACAGAAGAGTCCTAAGAGAATATCAGGGAAACTAGTTTCCTTAAGCCTTTTTAGTATAAATAAATTGGAATGATTTTTTTGTAACTGTTGAGTCTGTCTTGGTGTCTGCCACACCCACATATGAATCTTCATCTCTCTTCTGTTCTGACTTGGGTGCACAAGTTGGCAAACTCAGTTTTTAATTATTTTAAAACATTGTATTTTAGAATTTTTCAAACCCCTTTAAGAGTTTTTTTTATGCATTTTCCATGCTCTTTTTTTCTATTTGAGAGCTTTCAGAATTACTAGTAATTTAGCTAATAAACATCATGTGACATTAATTCAGAGTTTTATGCAAATTATTCCTTTTTTTCTTCAACAAGAAAGGAGGGAGGTAACTGGAATAGCAAAAATTAAGTATTTCAAACAAGTACTTTTTACATTTTTCTTCATTTAACTGTAATGGGAATGTTTTCTTGTTGGCAATAAGTAACGAAAAATTGTTAATAAATCAAAAACTCAAAATAATTACTATACATAATAACAAAAAAAATCTATTTTCTTCTAAGCCTGAATATGTACAATAATGAAATAAAGTTAGCACAAATTCAAAATGTAATAAAAAGATTTTAAGTTTCTGAAGACAAAGTTCATCCAAAAAAAGGAACCACCATTTATTTATCTCGTGTTCCAGACTACACACTTTCTTGGTGACTGACCTTTCTTTTAGGCTACTATTTTTTGTGTTTTTAAAAGGACTTTTTAAACTTCTGGCAACCAGTAGCCTAAAAAGAAAGGTCAGTCGCCAAGAAAGTGTGTAGTCAGGAACACGAGATAAATAAATGGTGGTTCCTTTTTGGACATACTTTGCCTTCAGAAAGGAGTGTAATAAATTTATCGTCCAATCAAATGGAAAAGGTTCTCCATAGACTTTGCAGTGAAACAAATCCTTCCTATGTATTAAAGCAGTGTTTTTCAACCTTCTTGAATACGCGACCCCTTTACAAGTTAAAAAATTCTGGCGATTCTCCCAGGGCCATATTAAAACTATACCAGTGATTTTAAAAACTACGTATTTAATTTTCTTTCTGTTGAGATCTAAATATCGATCGAAAGAAATTAAATCGCCTTCTGTGAACCACATAAACATTGAGAGGGGGCCTTATGATGTATTGTCCAATAATCCTTCATATGGTTTTCATTTTAATGTTTGTTACATATTATAACACACATAAATCAAATACTATAAGATATATTAACTACAAAGGTTATCTTATGTAAGGGTTTATCACACCAAGTGTCCAATTAACACATTTTTAAGATTCTTTAAATTGTGTACAGTAGAGGAATAAAGAATTTTAAAAATGTGTTAGATTGGTCACTTGGTGTGATAAACCCTTACATAAGGTAAACTTTGTAGTTATATAAATCAAATACTTTAATATAATATAATAGAATGATTAGAAGTACGAAATAATCTAATAATCTTGATGTTTGTTGTTACTTTTGTCCAAGTAACACTGGGCTTATCTTCAAGTTGACCTATATTATCAGAACCTCAGGGAATTAAACAAGGACTGAAACTTATTTTCTGTCTCTGCTGAAGAGTATAAAATTGAATATGTACACACTACTTTTATTGCTGGGTTGTTATTCCCTCAGATTCAACATCTTTTAGAAAGTTATACTTTAAAACTCAAGGAAGCCTTGTCACGTGCCCATGCTTTAGATTCTGTTCGTATCCAGTTGGAAACCTTTGTCTCCAATACCAGTACAGTAAATGCTATTAGGATTTCCACTCAAAAAGAACCTAAAAAAGACAATCTAAACAATCTCAGATATTACTTCAACCCCACACACGTTAGCTGCCACTTGAATGGAAGTGTCTTCATTGTGGTTATGTGAATCACCTTTCCAATAGCTGCTCAGAACAAAAATTGTAACAGATATAAAAAGAAAGGATCACTTTTTTACAGTATGTAAAATGAGGGAGAGTAAACGAACTAGGACTGCTGTAATTGGCAACAAATCACTCTAGCCTTTGTCCAGAACTATAGTAGATATACAGCTAAACCATATCTTAATCAAAGCCCTAGTGTATTGGCAAGCCCAAATCCAACAGAGGGCACTGTTTTTGAGCCAAGATGGTTGCCAAAACAGGTAAGGAACCGACCACATGTTTGTTCAGTGCCTGAGCCAATTCAGTTTCTATCTGTGATGACTCTCTCTGTAAAAGTTAAGAAGGCCGTACCAGAGGCTTAGCCTTAGAAGAGAAGTGAGAAGAGGATAAGAGAGGGGGGAGGGGAAGATGGGGTAAGTATGATAGGAAAGTGTGAAGAGATTTGTGAGCATCCAGCACCCTGCACCGTTTATTGGAACACAAATGAATGTAATACAAAATGTAGGTACATGCCTGAAGAAAAACAATGAAACTGCTCCAATTTGTAGAGTACAACAGATCGCGGATTAAACAAAGATCACAGTAGACAACTCGCGACTTAGCGAATACAAATGTACATGACAGTTTAGAACGAACAAAACATAACATAACATAACATGAACCCCAGCTTGGGGAGACCCTGAAGACCTAGTATTAGTTATACTGGTCCAGGGGAACAAAAGAGGGACAAGTAGCCTGAACCACTAGGCTTGCACGTATAAAAGAAAGAAAGTTAACCGAACAACCGAACTTAGCGAATACAAATGTATATGACAATTTAGAATGAACAAAACATAATATAACATAACATGAACCCCAGCTTGGGGGGACGCTGAAGACCTAGTATTAGTTATACTGGTCCAGGGGAACAAAAGAGTGACAAGTGGCCTGAACCACTAGGCTAGCGCGTATAAAAGAAAGAAAGTTAACCGTACAACCTTGCCAGGCTATCCAGGCTGGTTGCATTGCTGAGGCAGGTTGCGATGAGCACAAACACAAAGGTAAAATATTTGCCGGCTAGTCTGTTGTCACTGGAGAAGGGAGACCATCTTGGCTTGCGGTGATCCCTNCATTAAAACAATAAAATAGAATGATGAAGTAAAAAACAAGTGCACCATTAAAACAATACAATTATAAACTTATTTACAGTAAAATCATAACACAATGAGACGATTCACAGAAATAACTAAGATTATCCTGTTTCTAATTGATGGTGTAATAAATCTAGTGGAAAAGAAAAGCCATCATAGAGCTTGTAAAATTGAAAGAAAGAATTAATGACACACTATAATGATAAGTTGTTCACCAATAACTAGTAAGTTTTTTTCATTGATTGGGCATTATTTACATCTTTACCTAAGTTCTTTATGATAGCCATAATTCTGTCAAAAAATTTGTTGAATCAAATATCACCATCTCGCCCATCATTGATATTGAATCCTATGGTAATGACTGTTCAAGACAGGCAAAACAGACTGAACATGAACAATTCCAGCACGAATCTATCTTAATACTTTAGAATTTATTATCATAGTTATAAATTACATCAGTATTAAACATCCCATCCAACTTTTGTTTGGATGGGATATTGTGACAATTTTTAAAAATGTATAGAAAAAAGCAAGTTGTAATTATTTATACAAGATAAAATTACTGGCTTCAGAACTATTCTGAATTCTTAATGTTCTGACCATAATACTTTTAAACAACAAAAAAGAATTTTAGTAGTTAGATATATTAAATTGTTTTTACTTTTCTGAATAAAGTTTCTTAATGCAATACTAGAGTAAAGATAGAAATTAGGGTTTGTCAATTTTTAAAACTCAGTTTTGAAAAACTGGTTTTTTGAAGAAATTTATATAATTTGAAAACCGGGGTTTCCCAACTAAAAAACCAGTTTTTGAGTCTAGACTTAAACATATAAATTAATTAATTATTTGATTAAAAACATCAACGTTTTGACACAAAATTGTGACATAAAACAGGAATATTGTAAATATTAAGTTTCATAAAATCAACTAGAAAAACAAAAAAATTCCCCCTACACCAATTCTAGCATCCAATTCTCCCTACAATAGGGAGAAATCGTTCAAAAACGGAAAAACGATAGAAAGATTTGTACACTTAAAAAAATGCATTGTTTTAGCTTTGAATGACATCGGTGCTTCTCACATGTGGAACAAAGCAGCGTATTGTAAAATTGTAGAGCTCCTTAAAGTTTAAGGACCATATGTTGCCTTAGGATGACAAAGTTTGCATCTTGTTGTCCTATTATTAACAAGTGAAGGCATATTTGAATTTCTGTTATGTGAATTGAAAAATTTGAAGTTAGTTCCAAGTTGTTACATGCTGTAAAGGTACAAATTCAAGAGAGAAGACAAATTGGATTAGTAACACTTCTCCTTTATTTACAAAATCCACAGAATTTTTGGACAAAGTCATCTAGCGTATTTCTTCTACTAGCTGCAAAATCTGATATCATTAAGTTATCTGGACAAATATTATTGAGATTATATCCAAATTATTCTATAGAAGATGACTGCAATAATGAAAAAGTGGCAAAGAAGAAAATCAAGCCATAGCTTTAAAAAATACTATGAAAAAATCAATACATAAATATCTCCAAGAACCTGAAGTGACTTTGTCCAGCCCTAAGACACTAAAAAAGATTTTAGTATTAGAGGGTACAAACAGAAGAACGAAAAATTTAGATTTATTATTTAATGCTTTAAAAATGATTAAACCCAGCTCAGTAGCAAGTGAGAGAGTTTTCTGGCAATTTTGTGTGCAAAATAAGGACAAGGTTGAGCAATAGATCTATAGATGTTCTTTGCATTCTAAAATCATATTTTCTTAGGAAAAATAAGAAATAAAATAATATTTTATAAGCATTCATTGTTATTCCTTTTTCTTTATGGCTTTCTATGGAGTAAATTTTATAGTTTAATGTGATAATCTAGCATTTCCTTTTTTCTTTTTTGTTTTGTTATAGATGTTGGTCAATTTTATTTTGTTATACTTTTGAAATTTTATAATTATTAAATAAATTATAAAGTTTTAAAATAAGTTGTAAACATTCCTTATTTCCATTTTTTGGGGGAGCGAAAATTCGAAAACTGGTTAAAACCAGTTTCATAGAAAAGTTGAGATTTGAAAACTGGTTTTTTAAAAAGTCGGTTTTTGTATAAACCCTAATAGAAATTTTAAATACCGACTTTTTGATATGTGTAAAAGCTTCTTATTCTGGATAGGGGCTGTCCATAAATTACATCTGCATTTTTTTGTTTTTTGAAATTTTACTCCCCCCTCTCTTGTCTCAGTTTGTCCAAGTTTCTGTAACCTCTCCCCTCTTTAAATGTCTAACAAAACTCAACTCCCTTAAAACTTTTATCACTTTATGAATCATAGGTAATATAGATAGAAATGAAACATACAAGAAATTTTGAAATAAATATAATAAAATACATTAAATGAACATCTACTGAAGCTCAATTCCCCTTGTCTGACTTTGTCCAACTTGTCTTAACCCGCTCGCTCCTATCCAGTGTGGATGTCATTTATGGACAGCCCCATAGTAATTTTTGTTCAAAATTTTTTAAACATTATTCATTCTTATTTAATCGAATTTTTTTCTAGGTATGCCTGATGTTGAAATAGGTTTAAATGATCTTACAAGACAAGGTAAAGAAGTTGTAGGACGATATGATATAATTCCTGTAGTTACAGAAGAGTGGATACGACTAGAAAACTGTGAATTTCATTCCTGTGTTCTTCAAGAAGAATTTGAAAATAATCGTATTATCAAGTAAATATAAAAAATTTATAACAAAATTTACATAGGATTTATTTAATATTTCAGATGATTAAAATTTTGGAAATAAAAAATTAAAATGTTCATTTTTCATTCTTTATTTAAATTGAATAATGAACATTGTGGTATAATTTCACTTTAAGTCTAAACTGAAAAATAGTAATAGCACACTACATTTTTCATGTAATTAATTTTTCTATTCATTCAGATTTATATTAATAAAACTATAATTAGTTTATAAGCTATTTAAATTGTAATATCTGCAGAATTTGTTTAAATTACAATTGTAGTGTCTTGGATGGTCGAAACAATCTAGACATTTTTATCGCGTAGGAATAGTGAGGACTTAACAAGGTGATGACACAAAAATTACGAATTTTGTTAGAATAACAAAAAACATATAAAAAAATTATATGAGGAGACAAGGAAAAACACAAACTTAACCTAATTGGATACAAAGATATTTACAGACAATGTTCCTGTGTGTGTAACACATTCACACATTCACAATCTCACGATGGTTCACAACACTAACAAGGTATATCAACACGTGTTGAAAGGGTTTCCATAAACAAAATAACTATAATGGTTGGAAAAATATCTTCTCTACCAAGTGGTGCCCCTGTTGTATAGGGCATATGCAGTGTCCTTACATCGATGGAGATGGATTCCTTCTGCTCGACCTTACTGGTCCACTGCTTGCCTTCCGTGCTATGAGCGAATAACCCTTACCTTCTCTCTTTCACTCAATCAGTCCTTATGAGTCCAGTCCAGGTGAATATTGTTAGACTAGATATTGCTTGTCGGAGAGATTAGTAAAAGCAAGTTAGACTCACATAACTGGTTATATAACAAAGAATACACACAATACACAATATTGACTCACAGAAGGTCAGTGCTGGAAAGGGGAGAGTGAAACAAGGTCATCGTCTCTAATGACTCCCCGAGGGGTCAACAGTGCCACTAACCTTTTATTACATAATGGAAGAACATTAACAAAACATCACAACACAATGCGCTGTACAGTACATAAAGATGTCGTATAACATTAGACAATAATTTCGATCGTTGATTCCAACAAATATCCCAAGGAAAATTGTCTGACCAGGCATGATACACACTATTTAAAAGCTCCCACCATCTGGGAATTTAACTACACGTGACTTTGTTGAATAGCGAATAACCAATTACAAGCCTCACCCATCAAATGGTGGTACGTGACATACAACACCTCTCGAGGGTGGTTTTTTTTATACGAAACGGAAATCATTCCCGTTTCTCAATTTACAATACAAAACTAATTATATAACTAATATTAATACACCAAATTGAACACAAGTTTACAATAAATACATTTAGTGACCATTCCCTACACAATGTTATAGTTTATTATTAGAGAATAATATTAAAAAATAATCTTGATTACAAGAAAACTCAATTATGATATAATTTAATTACAGTACTTGATACTGAAAAGCATAATAATAGAATTTGAATTATGGATATCAATTTTATGATTAATACTATGCTTTATTAGAACTTTAGTATCATTATATTATTTGAAAAAATATTAAATTTTTTATATAATTTAATGTATTTTAAACGGTTTATATATAACAAGCAAAGCATGGAATTATAAGCAGTAGTTTAAAAAATATTAAAATACTTTTTAAAAAGACATATTTTGGATAATTTATTTTAAAATCAACTACTCAAAACTGTTAATAAACACTGCACTTGTAACCAATATCCAGCAAAAAGAAGAAACTATAAGAAAGCAAATGTTTTCATCCATGTTTAATGTGTATTGTCAAGGTAACTGATCTTTGCAGTTGTTAAAACAAACAGAAAAGTTATTAGGAATAGATGATTGCCATCTATGTGTTAAAAGAGAGGTGACAAGAGAGAAAGAGAGAGGGAATTTTAACAACTGCAAAGGTCAATTAGTCTGATGATGCTTGTTACATATAGATGAAAACATTTGCTTTCTTGTAGTTTCTTCTTCTTGCTGATATTGGTTATATGTGCAGTGTTTACTAATTTATTTTAATACTTATTTTAATTACAGTATTCACAAAGTTAGAGTTTTAGAAATTTAACAATGAAATCAAATTGACTTTCTAGAAACATAATGTGAATTAAATTATAATGATTCAAAAAAGAATAGGTAATTGGAATGTATTATTCTTTTACTATAGGACTTCTAAATAGCAGGGAAAGATAGCAGTGCAAATAAAAGTTTCTTTCAAAAAATATATCTCTTCTTAATCCAATTATCTGATGATGATATCATTAAGATAATGTAAACTTAATTACGTTATTTAATTACTGCACTTTTGTTATCTATTTTATTAATAAAATAAAAGCTTTGAGAATAATTNGATAGTTATAATTTAATTTATAACTATCTCCACAAAACCAACAAGCAAAAATATGAAATGGAAATCCATTGAAAATTCACAAGGAAATCTTATAATTAACTTTACTTAACCATCACCAAGAAACTTCTACACTGTCGATGGAACTTGAAAGCTTTGATTTTACCTTGCTTGATCTTTAGCTCCACCTTGTTCAATCTTGAGCTTCACCTCCTTCTTATAGTGTGGTTGTGGTGATGTTACATGATTACTCCCACTCGACCCTGTTTACATACTTAAGTGGCTAACATTTGTTTAATTCTAGTAATTTTTCTTTAGGTCATGTCATTGCCCTTACATTTAATCTTTTATAATTTTTCGTCATTCTTCTTTGGTGACAGTTTGGGGCGGGAGATCATTCTTTTAACTTCCTGTGGTAGTCTCCCCCAAGATGTTGTTTCTGGGTTCAATGATGCAATAGGTTGCTGCAAACAGTCGTCATAGTAAGATGAGTTTGGAATTTAGAATTTTGCCCAGGTAAGGTGTTGTTGACTATCCTTAATGAAATAAAATGCCCCAAAATAAATGAAGTGAAACAAAAAATAATCCCAAAACAAAATATAACAGGTTAGAATCGACTCCATACAAGTTTGTTTCACTAATTTGTAAGGCATTAACATGTAAGTTATCAAATTAACATATTGTATTTATCTGAAATAGATTTGTTTAGTAGCCAAACAGAGGATATTTATTATAATTTGTTTGAAAAGTGCTATACAAAGTCAGTTTTGCTATATTTTAATGTATAAATTGTAAATACATTTCAGCGAATAGTGGCAATTTTTCATCTTAGTTTTTGTTTTTTCCCCCCTTCTGCCATCAATTTCTTTTTCATTCTAAGAATATTTTAATAAAAAGCCAGACAAAAAAAAGAGAAAGTTGGAATCGGAAGATTCTTCCTCAAACACGGGCATTCCTTCTAGAAGACCAATACGTTTTCACGTGGCCACCATTGCCGCCATCTTAGCGTGTTATAAAAAAATCTAATTTACATTATGATTTTGAAAGTATTTCTAGAATCTAAAATTATTACATTTTATGTTTTTATAATATTTTACATAAAGGTATAACTAAAGATACAATGGTCAAAATTTTGTAAACAAAATAACAATGTATTTGGTCATAACATAATGTAATTTTTCAACNTTAATATATGGTATGACAAACAGACTAATTAACTTTCTTTTTTTCTTAATCATTTTGCAAATTTTCCTGTAGATCTAGCTTGCAAATAGATGGGAGAATAAAACAGACTTACTATTGTAATTATATATAAAATGTCTATTTTGTTAACCGTGTAGGTAAACTTTCCTTTTGGACTTTTGATCTAGTGTGTAAGAAGATATGATAACAAAATAGACATACTAATGTCTGTTTTGTTATCCATTTTCATTCTTTATCCTTTAGGTGAAATGCATAAAAAGATGGAATAAGAAAACAGACTAACTGATGTATCCATGTTGTTAATTCTCCCAAATGTGTGAATATATATAAAACAAATCAGACAAATTAACTTCTATCATTATCCATTTTTGTTAATTTTTTTTTAAATTATCAATTTTATGTCCTTTTTTTCTTTTTCAAAACATGCTCCCAAAAACTCCAAGTCCTTGTTTTTTCATTAAATTCCCAAAGGAAAACCTTTTTTTCCCAAGAGTCCATACTGGAGCAAACAGTTTAAATGCCTTTGCTTCCTTATTGCAGATAATCAATGAAAATGGAATTTTGCATGTGCCATTCATCCTTGCATGACTGCAACAATCAGTGTCTTGTTGCTCATGAATAACAAAACTGAAAAGCATTCATTTCTCGAGTGAGCTTAAATAAAGCAGATTTTCTCATTATTCTTGATTTTTATGACTTTATTCACAAAATTATATATTTTTCATTTTAAATGAATTCATATTTTCAATATTATGTGCTTAAAAATAACAGTAATGAAAATATTAACATGAAATATATATATTCTGAAAGCACAGTATTAATATACTTTCAAAATGCATTATAAAGAAAGAATTCTGTAATATGCTTCTTGTCTAGTCTTATATTCAATTTTACAAGCTCTATGATGGCTTTTCTTTTCTGCTAGACTTATTTCACCATCAACTAGAAACAGAACAATCTTTAGAAAATCACATTTTATTTCCTAGAGCAGCAATTCTCAACCTTCTTAGCTCCGCGACCCCCCAAATAGTAAATGTAAATAAAATTAATATTTTGAGACCCCCCACCCAAAGGAATAACAGTAAGCCTTACTATTACTAATTGAATTTTGACTGTAATTATAAATGTAAATTTTTTTTATTTATTAAATTATTTTTTTTTTATAAATCTTAAAATCATTATAAATTTTAAATGAAAAACAAATGCAACCATCACATTAATTTCTTTTCTTTACATGTGTAAGTAAAATGTTTATAAGTTTATAATAAATGATTTTTTTCATAAAATGATTTCATTATTGTTTCACGACCCCCAGGTTGAGAAATGCTGTCCTAGAGTATGCATTTCGGACTTTAAGCCCCTTTTCAACTCTTTGTGATGTAAATGGTTATGAGAAGCACAGAAATGGTGACG